ACTACGAGGTAAAATTAATCTAGGACAATATTACCCCCCTTAAAAATATATTTTTACCGGGGGGGTAAAAATATCCTAGTTTATTTTTACCCCCTGATGAACAATTTTACCGGAGGTAAAATTAACCTAGTATATTTTTACCGGGGGTACAATTAACCTAGGATAACTTTACCCTCCTTAAAATTTTACCGGGGGGTAAAAATATACTAGGTAAATTGTATCCCCGGTAAAAATATACTAGGTTAATTTTACTCCCGGTAAATTTATCCTAGGATAATTTTACCTCCGGAGGTAAAAGTATTTGAGGGTATTAGAAACCTGCGACACCGGTAAACTGGTTCACGTTATCTAATAATTCTTGTTAACCAAGTTCGTGTTAACGATGAAGTACTATATTATTATTATAATAATTAAATACTAATAATATAATAAATGCAATTTCTTTGGAAACAAATTATATCTACCTACTGTTATACTAATAGCAAAATAAATTACTTTAATAACTCAATCAAAAAATATATCATAAGTACAGGTATAGTCATAAAAGCTAACTGACCGTCTCCGCTCAGAATTATTATTCTTATATTATAATGATTTATAATTAAAATTGAACACATACATAATACATTTAATTTTCAGATATAAAGAATTGTTTTTTATGAATTTTTACATTAGTTTCTTACCACATTAAGTAATATGCATATGATTTGTTATTTCATCACGTAATATTTAATACTTAAAATTATTTCATACTTTATAATACATTAAAATCTTAACCATAATTAATATTATTATTATACCTAACCCATTTGCTTAAAGTTTTTATTATATATTTTTATTCAATTAATAGAAAATTATAATTTAATGTGCTTTGTTTTTCACTAATAATAATTTAACTATATGCATTGCATTAAATAAAATATAATATGATGATATAATATAACTTAAGTATGTCATTTATTAAAACATAATGATCAATACATAATATATAAAGTAAATGCAAGAAATGTTTCTAGTAAAGTTTTCTTTTCCCGAACTTTCCCAGATATTCTCGCAGTATTCTTGGAAATTACTTAACTCTAGTTATAGCTATTAATAGTTGATTAACTAAATATGCTCGCCTCCTTTCAATGATATTGTTATTCTAAATCTGATTCGCGTATTTTTTAAATAACTTAAAGACCATATATATAAATTCTTGAGATTTCCTATATTGAGGATCAAATTTTTGTTTTTTAAATGAAAACCCCATATTATATTGAAAATTATTTATCGCATAATTTTTCTCAAAATTCAAACCGTTTTTGAGTTGTTTAACTTTGTTTACTATGGATAATAGGTCCATGACAATGATTTAGGATATTGGTGATCTGAATTATCAATATTTATAACTTTTAAATAGTTCAAATGTAAATCCATCATTACATCTGCTTTATATTAACGCAAGCTTATTCTTAAAGATAATTAGGTATTTTTAGTATGAACATTTTAATAACTAAGAAATCACTTGTTTGAATTTTGAACTAGGTATTATTTTCAAAAACTTATCCACTTAATAATTTACAATAATAAGGGAAGGGAAGTATTTTTTAGTCGTATCATCACATGCGGATATAGCGTTCATTTAAATATTCAATAATGTAATATTCATAATTAAATCATTAACTTTGAAATACTATTTTATTATTTCACCTTCATAATTTTATTTAAAATCATCCAGCTATTTTTAACTTGATTCTTACCCATATTTTTAGCTCATTACACTAGAACTCTAACCCAAGTGGTTATTTTCCGACCAAAAAACTTATAATAAACAAATAATGAGGTGTTATCTTAAACGTAAAATATATTAATATATAAAATCAAAATTAAATTATTGAACAAATGAGCGATAACACTATAGGTATTATTTAAAACTATAACATTTATTTTCCATCTAATCACGAAAGTAATAAATACTTATTAAATACACTGTATAAGTAAATAAACCAATATTTATATTCAATTGATGTTTAATTTATAATTTGTATGATAGTTAATGATATTTTACTTTCTTAACACTATCATAAATTCATAATAAACATAATTTTTCAGATATATATTTTTATTTTTTCATTTTTTTTTTTTTTTTTTTTTGTGTATAATTTAGAAATATAATATTCAAATAAATAAAAATATTCAAACAATTATAAACAAATTAATGTATTGAATTAAATCTTTCTCTGTAACAATGTTATTCTCTCGTGTATTGTATTGGTGGTTACCTATATCATCCAAAGGTGCCTACTTGCCAATGATCGTACGCATCGTTTAGTATTCCGTTCTGCAACGTATACCGGCAAGACGTTATAATAATACCCCTCGCCCTAAGAATAGCCCCCTCATTCTCGTTAAAATCGCTTCCGGCTTTATAGAGACATAATTGAACGGAAGTTAGTATTATAAGACCTCTTATTACCACCACCTTTTTAAAATGATAATTTGTTTTCATTAAAAATATCTTTCGATAATAGAACCATTTTTTATAGTTTTTCTCACCATTTCACTCATTGTGTTCTTCTGCTAAACAATTATATATTCTTAAACTTTTTTTAAGTGTATAACACCGATATTGATACAAAAGGTGAATTTTAAAATCACATATTATAATTTAAATATGTTTAGTGGGACATGTTCATTGTTTTTTTAAATTTTTTGAAGAATAAATAAATATTAAAAAAATAATACACAACCTCTTAACATTTATAATTATTATATTTTCTTTATACTTGAATTTTTGATAAGACCTTGATTAAAAATTTATATCCTGTAATTTATTATTTCATTAAATTATGTCTATTTTAAGTATTTACAATGGCACCAAATAGAAAATAATTTTTATACTATTTACTTTCTATAGCCTATACAACTAAACGATTTTATAACTATATATTATTTGTAAGCGATTCTAAATTTCTATCACTCCAAAACAATATCTATTTAATTATTATTAATTATGGCTGTAACACATGCATGGTAGGTATATTATTATCAGTATATAATAACTGCATATCTATTTATATTCCTTACAATACTAAATAAAAAATTTTAATCATTACATTATAATACAGCTGATATAAAAGACTAGGGTTAGGTTGGGTTAGGCCAAAAAAAAGGAAATAAGTATAAACGATAAACATTAAATATTTTATATTGTGTTACTACATTATAAATTTTATTTTTAATCGGTTATTTATTATAAATATACTTGCATTGTGAACTGTTTATACTTACACTGAATACAGTGTTATGATTTATGAATAACTTAATATCGAGTTTATTTATTATATAAATGTTAATATAGCATTGTTGATGGTCAACAATTTTGATCTAGTTATTATCTGGAAAATATTCTGTTATTTAATAAGAAATTTTGAAAAATCAACATAATTTATTATTTTTCCTACTGGAATAATGATCAGTGAGTATAATAAAAAAAAATCATTAATTGAAAGAAATATTAAAACATTATTCGTTGATACTATCATAAGTTCATATTATAACTGAATATAACCTAACCTAACATCTAACCTACAATTGAAGCTCTTTGTAACTTATTATGTTGTTTAACTTGCTTTATTAGGTTAATTTTGCTTAAATTTGAATATAACAAAGAATTAATCAATAAATTAAGTACATTATAATGTAGATAATTATAACTACCTAGATTAGGTAATAAAGTTTCTTAACAAAAAAACCTATCATTGAATTTTTGTAAAGTTAATAAACATTAAGCAAATTATTTTAAATAAAATATAATATATTTTATAATATTTGTACAATATAAATTTAAAAAAAAATCTAAATAAATCAACTTTGATAATTTAACTTTTATTATTATTCATCATTGTTAAAATAATTTAAAATTGTATTACAAGGGAAAAAATTGTTAAAATAAAATAAAACTAACAAAGTGCTTTTTTGACAAAGATAAATAGATTACAGTTTTAAAAATATAAAATCTGTACCTATATAATGTATATCAAGAACGTACGTTATAATTATTATTTTTTTTTTAAGCTTAATTTCCATCGAATTAGAGATTACTGTAGATCTTATATTGAAAAATTAAATCTTTTAGGTTAATGAAAAATTTATTAATAAACTAATAATATAATCTATGATAAAAAGAGTAAATCATTAATAGTTTACTTAATAATAGTTAGTGAATCATAGATTTTGCTTGCAGTCAATTTTCTTCAAAAAGTAATATTTCTTATAGTCTCTAAATTAAGTCTAGTTATTGATATCACTAATTGATAAAATAATATGGATCAAAATGCATATTATAGCTTTATTATGTACTTTATTTAATGTAAGTTACATAATTATATTTATTTACATTTAACAATCAATAGTTTAAAGGTTTAGTTTATATCAATATCAGTAATGTAATATATCAATATACATCATATTTTCTTTAATCATATGATTGTCGTGTCAATTTTTCTTGTACTTAAATTTATTATTTACAAACTATATAACTTTAACTTACAATACATTGTAAATAAAAAAAATATAGTTAATAATTAAAAAAGTTTCATGTATTAAAAACAATGCTAGTTTTAAAAAAAATATTGAAATGTATAATATATTTATTAAGAAAGCGATTCAGAGACAATAACACTACTATTAAGTTAAAATTATATTAAACCATAAGTAATATTATTTTCCATGAAACGAATCAAAAATGCATCTAACAATTTTTTTTAAATCATAGTACTTATAACCATTATTTAGATTAAACGTTGACATAATTATTCTTATATTATCGAAAATATTAATTACTTATCTTATTCGCGTATGAACAGTTCATCTTAGGTTCCAATATCATAATTATCAGAACTAATATTAAAATGTATAAACACTGTTAACAGTCATGTAATGTATCATATTTTAACGGTTACAGGTGGAAGATCTATAAAAAAATTAATTATTCTATTTTAAGAAATAATCCATATTTATTTTTCATTAATTTTTTTAATGACGGTGTTACAACATGTGCATATAATTTTGACATGGTGACGTTTCAGATGTTTTTTGTATACCATAAAACATAACGGGAAACATGTACCAAATTCACCCAAATTTTTCGCTGAAATATTTCTGCTTGACTTTATTTTTGGTGTACCATTATAACCACATTTTATGCACAGACAATTAGTTCCTTCCGTCGAGTCTATATAATTTGAAATCGATTTGAATATTGTTGGAACTCCGTCGGATATCTAATTTACACAAAGTAATTATGTGCTATGAATCATTTTACTATAGGTACATATTGGCTATTATACTGTTAAAGAATTTTTGAGTACAATCAAGTCTCAAAATTAAGACCTAAGGAAAATATTACAATTTTAAAGAGAATATTACAATATAAAATGTAGATACATTAAGGAAATTTGTTTATTTTTTAGATTAAAAATTTCAATTTTTAATGATTAAATTGTCGAACATCAACGATTCTAACAATTAATATTTTTAAACATTTTATTTGTTCCCAGATGAACTCAATATAATAATATATTATATTATATATTTACTATAAATATTTTATATTTAATACAATTCCTATTTCCTATAATAATTCTGTTTTGTATAAAACCAATTAAAAGCTAAAAATTGACTCGTAAGCATAATTCAAACATCACACAGTTAAGTTTCTAAAAAAATGTAAATCTTTACTAATTAATATCTACTTCTAGTGAACCATTTGAGATAACATAATTAAAAATCAATGTATACTCCAGTATTTTTTTTTTATTCACTACTTTATTTTATTAATATATGCATGTGTGTATAAAATATTAAGAGTGATAGAATTCATAACAATAATTACTTTAAGAAAATAATCGTAAAATTGTTTAAAGTTTACAATTTAATTGGTATAAGATTCATTGATTTATTTTTTACGTCTGACTATGGTGAATAAGTTGTAGAAAATATAAAATATAAGTTGGAGTAAAAAAATATTAGAAATAGAGATATTTTATTAGTCTTTGATTTACGATTATATATTTTATCTTTAAATAACAAAAATAATATTACAACTTCTTTCTCGAATTTTAATTTTAAAAATATATTGCTGTTTACTTTAGTATTATAGATATTATTGGTTAATATTTAGCTTTGTTTGACTGTTATTACATAGCTATAATAAAAATATTTATAAACAATTTAAAAAAAATATACACTTTAATTTAATACAAAAATAATCATTGAAATATACATACAATATATGTATAAACAATTGGTATATTTTTTTTGTTGCAATATCGTATACGTATATTATACACAAAAATAATCATTTAAATCCTATAACTTATTTGCTTTGTTTAAAACAACGAATATGTTGAATTATGTTATAAAATAGGATTGTTTTGTATTATTTTATTTTGAAATATTTACCTTGATATTTTTGTGTTGAGAACGAATATGTTCAATAAATGTACCATACCCAATTGAGTCATTTAAAGTACCTTTAATTAATTTGGAACAAAACAGACACTTGGCAACAACTTCATACATTGCAATAAATAGATAAAAAATATTTTTACTTGATGTAATAATTTACATTCACTTAAATGAATTTAAGATTGAATGATTAATTACTATAGAAACTAAATCAATAAAATTACCCGTCTAACAACTCACACCTATACTGGTTATAAATATATAATTTGCAATGCTTACGTCTATCATATACCTCTTAAAAATAGTAGTATTACATGAGTTAACAAATCGGAATCCTTTATTTATCGGGAAATTTGTGTTTTATTCATAATTTTAATCTCATCAAAGTTATAAAAACTGAATTTATATTTACCTTCGTAATTTTATAAAAAAGTAGAATCGTTGTTTAATGAGTTAAGTTAAAAATACATAATTCATAACCTCACTTAACCATTAACATCGTAATAAAAAATAACAACAAATATATTTATTGGTTTAAAAATGTATTTATAATAAAGGAGTAATGACATATTCGAATGTGTAAAAATCAGCGTGAAATCCATTTCGACCATTCCAGTAATTTATTTGTTTTTATAAGTCACTGAATGAAAAAAAAAACAAAAACGGAGAAACAAAAATAATGCAATTATTTAACTAAAACCCAAGTAATGAAATTAGCGCAATAAAATATAAATATATTCAAAAGTATGGACACGATTTCAATATAAAAAACTGTATACCTTCGCAATAATTTATGAACCCTGCATACTTATATACTATAAGTTCAATATTTATTTTATTTAAGTCTTTTTAATTAATAATGAATAATAACATAATATATTATCCATAAAAACACTGTAAACATCATACTAAATTCATTTTAGAAGATATTATTTTTCACTATTTTGTATGTTATAAACGTTTTATATGATGTAAAGAAAAATATACTACTCACTTAAACAGTATAAATATAAAATATAAATAAACATTGTTACAACGTATACGACTTATGCAATACATACATCAATACGTATTATCTGTTCTACTTATATTATTAGAAATAGGATATTTTATTTTTTATAACCCGGATAACTCTTTTTAGTAATTTGAAAAGATGGTAGGACATCAATTAAAAAATACTATAAATACATTTCCGCTACATCGAGTTGCTGATATAATAATAACCATAGCTCTACCAGTTTTCGATGGAAATTAGAGAAATTCTCAAAATGTCTTTTGCTCCTTAGCAATCGTATTTCCTATTTTAGCAATGACTATTAAGCGCTATTTCGAATTAGGAAATGAATACATTACTCTTTGACAACTCAATATTATAAAAAGAAATCAGTTTATCTCATCTATACACTAAACGTATATTATAAAAGTAAATGTTTAGCAATAAATATACAATACCTAAAAATGAAATAATAATATACAAACGTTCTTATTTTTTAAATTTTATTTTTCTTTAATCTAAAATATGTTTTTAATTTACCAATACTCCCGACTTATGTGATACAATATTTATATTTACATTTAAGTTCACAAAAAAGTATATTTTATTGACTTTTGTACCGTTACACAACGATTATTTACTTAGTTTCTTACATGAATGACTAACATCCCAGGATAAATTTATAATATGACGAATTAAATTATACTTTAAAATAATGGACTTTTCGCGCAATTTTAATACTATGCTAATGTTTTGTATATCTAGGTTCTTGGTAAAAACAGCTAAATTAGGAAAAACGATGGGAAATAATTAAATTTAGAGGTCAAGGTTTACGCATCATATATAAACAAGGACGAATGTGCATGATGATATAACATCTAAATATTCTAAATCGTATAATACGAGTATTATAATACTCATAGTCAATTTATAGATGTATTTATATATTTTATTCTTAAATATAACATATACGTACGTGTAATAACAATGAATTATTTATCGATACTACAAAAACTGCAAATGATTAATATAATACAGGTATTGAAACATTATATTTACTATTTACGAGTATTCTACTCGAAGCTTGGAGAAAAAAAAATGTAAGTATTTAATTTATCTTAAATTGCATTATTAGTATTTAATTTATTAATATTATAAACAACTTAGCATATTAGCTTAAAGAATAATATGAAATATAAATTGAACATTAAACGCGTTATAAACGTTAGCTTAAATATCAGATAATTATTTCTATCAGTATCATATAGCCTACAAAAATAAATAAACCAAAAAATACTTATCATTTGCAGCAAATTAGCTGTATTGCTCAATTTCGTCCAATTAAAATGGACATTTTTAAAACACAACCATCACCACTCGGTGTATTTCATTTTAAGCATAAAACAACTTTAACAACTTGATGAGCAAATTGGTAACAGCCAGTAAATGTATATCTCTGCCTTTTGAAATATAAACAACACAGATTATTAATATGGTCAAATGAATGGTTTTGTAGATATTCTTTTTAAGTAGTATATAAATCCTTAATTTCAACAATTTTTAATTGATTGCAAAGGAAACATAAATATTTTTGGACTAAAAAGTGGCCCAGATAATTTTTGCTCGTATAACATTTTTTATTATGCTTTATCGATAAACACGAACTGTCGCACACAACGACCAAATAATTTATAGATACAGTGATTTAACTATCAATTCATCAATGCATTAAAATTCTATAGACAATATTTTCAAACTTAAAAATACTACATAGGTACCAATGTAATTAGCAATAATACCCTATTATACACTAGCAGAGAAAGCAAATGTTTGATATACGATTGTAGGTATTTATATTTTATTGTAAACGAACAATTTTCTTAATACAGCTGCCGCGCTAATGTAATTTTAAGGCTTCTGCAGTTCATTGTCCATCAAAGTAGAGCACAATTTATTCTTTTATTATTTTTTTCTCATATTATTTTTTATACATCTACCTACGATTTCTATTCAAAATAAAAACCCTTATGTTGCTGCCTGCTGCTCGTATATAACTAATTATTATTAACGATGTTTGTAAAATAATTATTTCTGATTAATAATTCTCACGAAATCAACCGCCATAATAATATTATGTATATGGCGTGGACGTACCCATATAATTCGTGTCATATATAGGCTTAAATGGACGAAAATATTATAACCTTCTGTCATAGAAGTTCTATAGCTGTATGTTTTCGAGTATACAGAAAAGTTCGACAACGATTACCCACATAATATAGGAACATTATTTTGTTCACATAATTTCGTCGCGACTCGCGCTTAAGTGATTGGCTTCGAGATACCTACGCGGGATTTGCACACGACACTTACTTTCACCCCTTCAAACTGCGTTATTATTGCAATCCAAACCCCTTGCCATGATAACTGCACGCATACCGGCTGCCCTGTTATACAAACACGTAATAATTATACTTTTCACGAATACACACCCATACCTCCACGCAGACGTTTTCCCCGTCTTGCCCACCGTGCCCATCAGGCCATCACGGAAACCTTTATTTGGTTAACAATAGAAAAATGTCGACATTCGAATCGATCGAATAATTTTATTTTAGATGGTAGTTAATATATTAAATCGTGCGCCGTATTTTACGACCCTATGACAGCACAAACCTTCCCGGGCAGGTGGTACCTCACGTATAAAAACTCCAACTAGTTCCCGCGACTAAACTTTGGTCTACATTATAATATTATCGTCATTCCTAATACGTTTCCGCTAAAAAACGATTTGCACACCGTTAACGTATGATGTATTATAAATTATTCAAGATTCCCGGTAAGCAAGAAAAATGTTGACGTAGTAATTTCATTATGTTATATTTGATAAAAATTATTTACTTTATCAAACAGTATCCGGCTGACTTAAATGTTGGTACTAATACGGAGATATTGTTATTACTTATTACTATTGATTATTTTTACGATATAAAAATTACTTTAATTTTATTTATGATGGCGATATAATATTATTGTATTTATAAAAATTAATAATAAATTGTTTTTAATATTTTATGGTATTTCAAATTAAGTTATATAAATTTAACACATTTTAAAAGTTTTTTATTTTTATTTTCTATAAAATATTCTCAAAAATTTAAAACAAACGTTATTGTAAAATTAAAAATATATATATTATAAATATAATAATAGTACAAACAATTTTTTAATGTGGGAACGTAGAATCAGTCAATATCTCATTTGATGGAAATGACAAAGTACATTATTTTAGTGTAAATGGGTATCGCTAATCTACAGCATCCTACCTTACTAGGTTGTTTCCTTATATAAATCTTATTAGGTTTTTCCTATACTTAAAATAAATCAACAACTTTTATTATAGTATACCTTAGTCGAGATAAATTATTATTACTACTTCCAATATGATTTCGATATTCGATCCATTGAACTGCTACACTGTTAGTAGTTTACAAACGATCAGCGAATGAAAGCTACCCTTAAACACAGTAAAAACCAAAACAAAATTACGCTTTGGCAGTTACATCCTGGTATTTTTCTACGATGAAAATATTATATTATGTATACTGCAAACCGTCCGTCTTATGATTTATCACTATTGATAAAATAAATACATTTGAACAACTTTAGAATACTTGAAAAATATTATGATTTTTTTTTTTAAGTAACATAAAACTGTCATGTACAGTTGTTGCTAAGTATAGCTTACGGACTCTGAGACCTAAGGCAAATTATACACGCTTCAACATTTTCAAATTTTTTATTTTTGTTAAAAGTTAAATATTTTTACTCTATTTCGTTGAAAAGTTAGCAAGTATTCTTTTCGTGCGAATTCATTTTGCGACAATCAATAACTATATATATAGTATTTGAAGTGCTCTCCGAAATATAATATTATAATGAACGCTTGTCGGTAACAATTGAATTTAACTTCTGAAAATTGTTTTATGCCTACAATTTAAACCGCAATTAATTTGTATTCCCCGAACTCTTTTTTAGTTACGTCTTTATCAGTATTCATACAATATACACATAAAATATCGACATATAGACAAATTGACATAAGTTATAAGTACAATGT